CGTGAGCTGGACGTGACTTCTTCCACTTCCTCTCTCGCTGTCTCTCTCGCACCCCCTGCCGCCCCCACCCCATCGTTAGCGTCGTGCCGCCACACGTCGGCGCGCGTTTTGAATATTAGCAAAATCACGGCGGCGGCCCCGCCCCCACCCCCCGGCCAGGACGGCGCCGAAGCGGGCACGTTCCTGCCGGGGCCGGTGGGGCCGCCGGGGCCGGTGGGGCCGCTGGGGCCGCTCGGAGCGGCAGGCATGTGACCGCGGACGACCGCCGCACACGTGGCCAGGTGGCGCCTCCACTGGAACTGTCTGTCCGCCGAACTTTCGAACGGAACCTCGCACAGTGGGCCAGAAGGCCGGTGGAGGCGGCCGAAAATCCAGACGCGTTTTGAGCAGCAGAGTCGCTAAATGGGACTCGAACCGAACGTGTGACCCCATCAATGGATTCCTCGTTCGGAGAGCAATCCATTGGTTGGGTCACAATCCCCCATTTAGTGACTCTGGAGCTCGAAACGCGTTCGGGATTCTAACCGCCTCCACCGCGGTCCTCTGGCCCACTGTGCCCCGACAGCGTTGAACCGCGCACTGCTGGCCAGTCCATGCCGCATCTTTAAGCGCAGAAAGCCTTCGAGACGCACCGCCGGTGTGAACGACCCCGCCTCGCGCGGAGCGGAGACGACTTGGATTTATGCGTTTTTGATCCCGTTACAAAATAGCCGAAGGCGGAGGGTGCGACAGTGCGACGACTGTTCCAGGGGGAGGGGGCAACGTGGAAATGAAGACCCGGGGTGGCGGGTGGCGCGCACATAAGTAAAATGTTGACGAAGATCGTTTGGCTCGAGTAACAAAAAGAAGCGCATTCTATCCGGCCTAGCCAGCCGCCTCGTCGCGGAATGGTGCTTTACGGGCGAGTTTACCACCCCGACACTGCAACAAACGCACGGGGAAAGGGGCGGGCTGCCGGGCGCCCTGTGCATAGCCCTGCCTGGCCCTGCCCGTGCAGCGCGCTGGTTTGCATCACAAAGGGAGGCGAAGGCGAAATCGGTAGAGGAGCAGCAGACGACGCTCTGGAGGGGGAAGGGGGGAGTATGCCGATGTGCAGAAAAGCCCGTCGTCTGCATGCGCGGCCGAACGTTGCGCCGTCGGATCACTTTTGCAAAGAGCAACAAACCCATTGCGCCAATTGCGGGGTAATGACATCATTTTTGAGAGCGCCGGCGGTCGCTTCGCTCTCTCTCTCTCTCTCTCTCTCTCTCTCTCTCTCTCTCTCTCTCTCTCTCTCTCTCTCTCTCTCTCTCTCTCTCGAGCTACCGACGATGGAGTGAGAGAGACGCAGCGAGTCGGGTAAAAAAACGCGAGGGGGTCGCCGGCCGGCCGTTTGCGGCTGTTGTCCAGCTTTCTGGCTGAATGACGGAAGACATCCAAACTCGATTACGCTAGGCCGCGCTCATGTTGGGCAATTCGATAAATCTAGCTTGTTTTGCTTTTGGACTGCCAGCGACGGTGACTGCCACCTCCTTGTCCAAGAGCATTTTGACAGCCCCACTGCGTTTTGCTTCAACTGTAAACAGCCCAACGTAGGTATCAGCCCTCTCGTCTTCGTCCTCTCTCCCTTCCCCCCCCCTCTCTCTCTCTCTCTCTCTCTCTCTCTCTCTCTCTCTCTCTCTCTCTGCTGGAAAAACGATTTGGGTATTATTCCGGGCAAAGGTAGAGGGAGGGCCGCCCTGAGTCAATATGTACTCGCGCCGCATGGAGTAGGTATAATTCAAACCAAAGATAATCTTCCGTGAGTCGCTGCGATCACACAGAGACCGAGTCGGCGTACTACACAGCGGTCCGCGGTTCGAATACCGGCGGGGCGCCCCGCCAGACACAGAGAGAGGGGGGAAGAAAGAGGCGTCTTTTGACTTTCAGATTTCCGGGAAATCGTCGCGTTGGTAAAAGTGAAAGTTGCGGCAGAGGGGGAAAGGAGGAGGAAGAGCGGGATTGTTGCTAAAATTTTATTGGTTACCGACTACCTGGGACTTTTTTTTTAACGACAAGATAAGAGTTAGTACAATCATCGAATGAAAGTGGAGTGTTTAAAAATCGCCTGTTTTGGATTTGAGGCTATGAAATCCTCGACAATGTCGCATGACCCATCCGCGCGAAGTTTCCAATCAGTGCGGAACGCAGCACCTTGGGGCTCTCGACGGCCTCCTCCGACGGCGTCCTGGAGGCCTTCATTAAGGGACGTTCTTTGGCTACACTCGGTTGCTGCGACGACGTCTGTCTCGCTTTCTTTTGTCGGCCCGAGTGGCGGGGGTGCGAGAGAGAGAGGGTGCCAGCGGAGAGTGATTTGCCCTCGGGTGGCGAAGTGCGCGGCGCGCGCGACGCGGCTTTCAAAATGTTCAGCGAGTGATTCGGAAACGCAAAGTTTGTCTTTGTTCGCAGGTGGCGCAGTCGCTCCAAGGCACGGCCGGCCCGGCCAGCAGCGCTCCCATTACGCAAATGGCCAAATCCATTACTGTTTTTGCAAGTTAATACGCCGCTGATAATTAAGGCTGGCCGCGCACAACAACTAGACCATTTGCCAAATGACGGCGCCGGGGAGTCAGTCGTCGCCTTTTCGCGGCGTCTTGCCTGTGCCTGCTGTGCGCGGGTTCGATTCCCGCCGCCGCCGGCGCTTTTTTTTCCTCCCCTTCGCGAACTGCCAAACGGCGGCCGTGCGAGCGTCGTTTGTCAGGACCACAATGACCATGGCGTTGCCTGGGGGTGCCCGGGGAGCCCGGGGTGCCCGGGGTGCCCGGGGTGCCCGGGGTGCCCAGCGGTGCCCGGCGGGGTGGCGAGCACGCCGCCGTCTCGACCGGGCCGTCGACGCCGTCGTGGCTCCGGCCTTATTTACATTTTGTTGGCGCCGACGCCGCGCCGCCGCCGCCGTCCCCTCCCGCCAAATTGGCGTCACTTGTTGGCCTGCTCGAGTGGCCCGCGGCCTGCGGACTCCCGGCGGCGATTTCGGCGAGACCTCGCGCCCGAGCCGAACACTTGGCGGTCGGGGTCACCATCTGCACAGTGTCGTCAAAAGACCGCCGACTTTGTTCCGAGCGGAAGCACCGGGGCCAGGCAGATGGGGCTCCCGCCTCCCCGCCGGGGACGGGCTTCACGGCGGTTGACGTCCCCTCGTGTTTGCATAGCGACGGCCCCACGCCACTGGCAACCGCCCACGCCGCGAGCGGCGCCAGCCACGCCAGCAGGGCTCCAGATTGATACCAAGGAGTGTGCGTTTACTCCTTTGAGATCCATTGGAGCGACGCCGGGGGACGCAACGGGGTGGGGAGACGGCCGGAACATCTCAAAGGGACAGACTAACTGCACTTATTTGCGCTGTCGGAACGTTGCATCAAAAAGGGGGCCCCGAGCCCTGAATTGGGATTTCAGCCGGACGGGCTTGGCGCTGTGCTGCCTCGCACCGCCTCGCGCTGCCCAGCCATTCTCGGCAATGCAGCTTTAGGGAGGGCGGCTGCTGTTGTTTCTTCTCGACGATGGTGATTGCGCGAGGGGGTTTTGCCGACTTTTCCTGCTTTTTCTTTCCGGGCAGGCCGTCGGGTGCTTTAATTGAAGCTCGCGACAGTGTACCGGCACCACCGGCCGGCCGATGGACGCCGCCTCCATGTATCATCCCGGCCGGCCGGCCCGGATTGCGGGAACTAGGCTCGACGCATAACTAACCTGTCCAGGGCGGCCGGCCGACTTGAAGCAGATTACTTGAATGCCTCAAAGCACCCCGGGAGCGTCGCGGGGCGGGGCGGGGGCGGCGTGGGGGCGGCGTGGGGGCGGCGTGGGGGCGGCGTGGGGGCGGCGTGGGGGCGGCGGGGCCGGAACCGCCCTGTCCACAGCAATACTGAGCGATGAGCCGCCCTGCAGGGAGCGACGTAGTAGTGACCTCAGTGTGGCAGGGAACGAAGGTCCCGCTTCCAAACACAGGTTCCGCGGTTCAAGCCCGGTCTCACGGTCCATTTTGACGCGATTTTTGAGGCCGCTGGACTTCAAAAGGGGTAGTCCGAAACGCCACCACCTGTCGCGCACCGCGGCGCGGCTCGGCACGGCCCGGGCGAACATAATGCCCCAGTCGTTATGGTTTTGCGGGCCCACCGGATGGAGTCATGGAGTCGCAGGTCGCATGGCAAGTGACAGTGGCGGAAGCGTGCAGGCCGGAATGGAAATGTGAGCCGGGCGGGGCGCCGTCACAGCGCCGTCATCATCGCGGGGCGGACGACCGCGCCGGCCAACGGGGCAATTGCCACTCCACTGTCAGTCCCAAAGACAGCCTAGCCGAGTCGGACTCACGCAGCGCCGGGCCAATGTCGCTACCTGTCGCTGCGGCTGCTCTTGTTGTTGTTGTTGTTGTTGTTGTTTTCGTTCGGCGAATAGAATGGCCCGATCTCTGACCAGCCTGTCCATCCTAACCTTCTCTAGGTTCCGCGCGTCTATTCGCGCAGCAGGTACACTGCGGGCGCGGGCGCACGTCTGTGTGTGTGCATGTGCGCGGGCCCTACGTGTGTGTACTTCGCCACTCTGATAAGGGGGGCATTTTTAAAGTCGAGAGCACACATACTTTGTTGTTGGCGTGGTAGTATCTCCCTGCCTTTGCCCGTGCATGTGTGTGTGTGTGTGTGTGTGTGTGTGTGTGTGCAGGTAGTGCCTAGCTGGCACTAGTACCCGTAACGAGGACCCTGATAAGGCAGCGGTAGGTCAAGAGATGTATGCACAAAGCAGTGCGGTGCGAGCAAGAAGCAATGCCCCCCTCCGCACACCCACACACACACACACACACACACGCGCGCCGCAAGTGGGTGAAATGGAGTAAGAGAAAGGGGCACGAACTCTGTGGTTGCGGGGGAGGAGGCCTGGGTCGCCAGGTGGTAGGACACAGCGAAGTTAGGATTTTCTTTTTGTATTAGGTCGTCGTTAAGATTTAGTTTGAGGCTGTTTTCAGAGTGCTCTTCCTATTAAATAACCGATTAAAATTGACATATTTTCATAATTTTTTAATAATGAATGTAAATTTAAAAATGAATAAATTTAGCGCCATCTTCTTTTGGTTCCATGCTTCCCCGTCGTAACAAAGTCAGCGCGCTTGGTCTGGTGGTTGTTACTCGCTGAAACAGTTCCATCTGATGGTTGGCTACACTAGTTTAGTGTGTTGTAGCCCCAAGTTTGGAGTGTGTAGCGGCGCGTCGGCGTGGCTGCAGGGCTGCAGGGCGGCAGGGCGTGCCGTGTTGAGGGCCTGCGTCGCGCTGCCTGGCCTTGCCTCCTTCTTGTACTTGGCCAAGTCGAGAGGCACTCTGGCCGCGACCCTGCTCCTCAGGGGACAATGAACTCGGCGTGTAATTAGTTACTCAGCGTGACAAACGTGTAACACACTGTAACACGCGAGCGTGCCTGTCGGCGTGTTGTTCGGTCGGGCAATAGTTGTTGCTGCCGATGCAGTACAGGGACTGGTGAGGAGATTTTAATGAGAGGGATCAGTCTTGTGGAAACAGTGGCAACTTGAGTAATGACTATCACAGCGTTACTTGGCTGATGCCTGGCCCCCCAGCAGTGGCAATGTTCCCGCAGGAGGTCCTTCCGAGTTCCCTCGGCGGTTCGCGGCAGCGGTTGGACCGCGTTGGCAGTCGGCAGGCAAGGACTCCGAAGTGACTGGGACGGCGTCCTCGGTGACCACACTGCAGGGTGGCGTCATGCTTATCTCCTAGACCCGCCTCAGGTCGTCGTCTCCTGGTGCTGGCGGGGCGCGGCGGGCTCCTCGTCGTCCTCCTTGGCCACGAACACGTCGTCGTCCTCGCCGTTGTGGAGGCCGTCCTCCTCTCGGCGCCGCACGATGGGGTCGCCGTGGAACTCGGCCAGGATGTCGTCCAGCGCCTTGCCCTTGGTCTCCAGCACGGCGACGGCCACGTAGGCCGCGCCCGCCAGGCAGAAGGCGGCGAAGAGCCACAGGCAGCCGTGCGTGCCCAGGGCGTTGCGGACGTTCAGGAAGAACTTGGTGCACAGGAAGGCGGACACGGTCTGCACCGAGATGCCCACGGCGGTGGCCAGGCTGCGCACGCGCGTCGCGTAGGTCTCGGCCAGCAGCACGAGGGGCACGGGGCCCAGCCCCATGGCGAAGGCCACCACGTACAGCGACATGGCCAGCACCGGCAGCCACCCCACCCCCGCGATGTCGTACCTGCGCAAGCAAGCAGTCAGGAACCGGCGAGTGGCCAAAAAGACCCAGACAGTGGCACCACTTACCCGATGCTCTTGGCGTAGAAGCAGCCCCCCAGCGTGGAGAGGCACGTCGCCATGACGACGTTGGACGCGATGAGCAGGGGCCGGCGGCCCGCGCGGTCCATCAGGAAGGACGACAGGTAGGTGCACACGGCCTGCATGGCGGCCACGATGATGGCCGCCGCCGTGGGGCTCAGCGAGCTGCCCGCCTCCATGAAGATGGCCTCGGTGAAGTTGAGCACGGCGATGACGCCGCAGAACTGCTGGTTGGCGAAGAGCACGAGGCTCTGCACGAGGGCGCGGCGCGTGCCGCGGTGCCGGAACAGGTCGGCCAGCGAGGCGGTCTCGGTGTCCGAGGACGACTCCTCGCGCTTGGCCGCGGCCAGCAGCGCGTCCAGCTCGGCGTCCACGTCGTCGCCGCCGCGGTACCACGCCAGCGCGCGCCGCGCCGCCGCCGCCCGGCCGCGCTTCACCAGGTACACGGGGGTCTCGGGCAGGCGCAGCAGGCACAGGAAGTAGATGGCGGGCAGAAGCAGGCACACCAGCGGCATGGCGCGGTAGCTGCAGCACAAAGCACTCGCTAGTGTCGCGGACAAAGGAGCGGACGCGGCGGCTAGACACCCTGACTCACTCCGTGAAGGCGCTGACGACGAAGCTGAACAGGATGCCGGTGTTGAGGCCCACGGCCAGGAACGTGCCCAGCGCGCCGCGGTGCTCGTCCTCGGCGGTCTCGGCGATGTACAGCGGGCTGACGACCAGGGTGGCGCCGGACGCGATGCCGCCCAGCAGCCTGGCGGCGTACAGGGGCAGCAGCGAGTCGGTGGTGGCCACCAGGACCCAGGACAGCGCGTACGGCGCGGCCACCACCAGCCCCGCGATGCGGCGGCCCAGGCGGTCGGCCAGCGCGCCGAACAGCAGTGTGCCCGGCGTGCCGGCCAGGAAGTTGACGGACGCCAGCCACGAGAAGTGCTCGTGCGACACGACCTCCTTGATGCCGTCGCCGTCCGCGTCCAGCGGGGACGTGGTGGCGTTGGTGAGGATGGGCCCCGCGGGCGACGGCCACCCCATGACGGAGCCCGCCGCCAGCGCCGCCACGTTCACTGGAAAGACAAAGCGCGTCAGAGCTCGCCGCCGTGGAGCCGCACCGCCCGGGCGACGCGCGCGCTCGGCGGGACGGCCTACCCGCCGGGCGTCCCAGCCAGCACACTGGAACGACTGGCTGGCGCGCCAGCGAACGCCAGACCGCCTTGGCCCCGCCATGCCTTGGCCATGCCTCGGCCATGCCGCCGCCGTGCCCACAATGTCCTGTGATTAAATTTGAAACCGCGACGAGTCCTTTGGGGAGGCCCCGGCGCCACCGCGCCACCGCGTCCAGGGGCGGGGAAGGGAGGTGGGGTCCGGAATGGAGGCGACCACCGCCGCGGCGCTGATTGAATTGACTAGCTCTCTTCCTGGAGCTCGTGCTGGAGCCCGTGCTGCTGGACAAGATTAACGAACGGGGAGGGGGGGGGGCTTAGGGGACCGTGGGCGGCGATCTGACTGCTGCTTCGCTTTGTGACCGCGGAGGGTCGCAGCCGTCTCTCTCGCACCCCCGCGGCAGGCCAGTGAGTGCGAGGGAGACGGGGAGCAATGCCGCCGGGAGCTAATAACGCCGGGCCACCGCCATCGTCATGACTGCCGTAAAGCACAGTAGTTGCACTCGTGAAGGTGCGGTGCCGCCGGGCCGCCGTACACCAGGCGACCGGATGCCGGATGCCCCTCCCCGTCCATCCCAGCAACTCTCACTTTGAAACTTGCCCCCTCCCCCCACAATTTGTCCGTCTGTTTGTCCGGCGTGTCCTCACTCCTGCCATCCTCCTCCCTCGCTCGCTGTTTTGTATCTCCGGCACAATGGCAGCCTCACTGTAACGGACTCTGCTCGCGCCTCTGTCTCTCTCGCACTCGTGGGGCGTCCCGCGCGGGTGCGAGAGAGACCGCCGTACTCACGTATGATGGCCGTGGCGTACTGCCGCCGCTTGCCGGCGCTACCCCGCGCCGCGCCGCCGAACTTCTCATCCTGGATGGGCACGATGGTGGGCCGGTAGGGGCTGAGCAGCCCGTCGTCGGCGTGCTTGGCCATGCTGGCTGGGCCTGGGGGACAGGAAGGCAGACCCAGTGTCAGCATGCAATGCAGTGGCGGTGACGGCACCGCTGCAGCCGGTTATCTCCGCCTGTTTGCCGCGGGGTGCAAACAGTGTGCCGGTAGCTCGCGGCTCCGCGGTTCGATTCGCGGTCCTTGCGTAAGGACGAGGCGCCGAGGCAGCGGAGCGCACCTGAGTGCTCGCTATCTCGCGTACGACAAACAGGGCCTGTTGCCGAGGCGACCGGCGTCTCGGTTCCGAAACTCCGCGGCCGCGAAATGATCAAAAACAACGAAAACAACAAGAAACGTGACGCTTGTCACTTGACCAGTCCGGGGCTGGCCGGGCCCGGTGGCTGGCCCTGCGTACTCACGGCCTGTGTCACCTTGCTGGCTGCGTCGCCGTGCCTGCAGTGCTCTCCCTACAGTGTGTCGTCCCGGCCGTCCCCGCCGGCGTGCCGCGGCATACAGCCGTGCTCGCTTCGCTCATCGGTGCCGGCGGCTATGGGGTCTGCCCGCCCCCGCCCCCTCCCCCTTCCCCTCCGCCTGTAGGCTGAGATAGTCGGCCGTATCATTCATTGGAGACTCCGAGGTCACGGTCGCGGCACTGCTACCGCCTAGCGCGGCCACATTGTGTGTGTGTGTGTGTGTGTGTGTGTGTGTGTGTGTGTGTGTGTGTGACTATTTTGATGTCGTAGTACGGATCGTTTGGCTGCTCGGGTTTCCAAATGAGGGTGATCACGGTCGACTTCCTCTCTCTATCAAACATATCGGGAAACAAATGGAGAATTTGTCTGATCTTTTTCGAGGTGCCGCGGTCGCGTCTCGGCCGCCCGGCAACGAATTTGTCATCGCGGAGGCCCCGCGGTGGATTAGGGCAACGCGGTGCGCTAAGTTCGCGTCGCTGTGTCCGATACACCATAAATAAAGGGAGCGCGTGGGCGGCCGGTCCATCTGCCCCCCTTTCCGTTTTATTATTTAATTGATTTTGTTTTCTTCGACTGCCGCCGCGGCGGCGCTGTAATCGTTGTACAGTATTTGCATAGCAGCTTGGGAATAATTTCAGACATTGTGTATTTTTGTGTCGCTCGTGTTGCCGGCAGTTGACCCCCCACCCTTTTCCCCCTTTTGCCGCAGTTTCCAATGGAGCAGCAGAGCACATCTGTTATTTGCTCCGTTTATTTAACACGAATTTTTGGCCCTTTTTTTTCGCGGTGTAGGAGGAAGCTGTTTTCATTCCGTTAGGTTTTCAAGTTCAAAGTGATATTGCAGACGGAGGGCCGGCTGGTGGGCGAGGCAGGGCACTCGTGTCCCTACATATTAAATACCCCCGCGACTTCGAAATTGGCACTAGTGCTGTCGACGACGCGCGCGCCGCGCGGCCCAGTGGCGGTGTTAGCTTACGAGAAGTGCGTGGGCACGCGTCTACGAAACGACGCGTCTCCATTATCATCAAGATAATGATCTGGCCGCTCTAATGCAATATTCTGTTTCGACTGGGAGTGCGTCATTTGCGTTGCGTGCGTGTGTGTGTGTGTGTGTCTGTGTGTGTGTGCGCGCATCAAAGCCAGATCTGAAGTTGATCCGAACTCCTGACGGAGCCGCTGTCCTCGCGGATGCAGTGCCAGCTGTGTGCGTGGATTAGTGTCAGGCCCCGCCCCGCCACGCCCCGCCACTACATCCCTTTATTATTTACGCTACGCCGCCCACTCCCCCTTTTCGGCGGGCCACGAACTTACCAACAGTCTAAGCTGTCTGTCTGGAGGCCGCCTGGAGTCGGGCCGCGCGTCTGGCTGGAGCGCGGCGGAGCACAGTGGGCCAGAAGACCGGTGGATCGGCCAAAACTCTAGACGCGTTTTGAGCTCCAGATCCGATAAATGGGCCTCGAACCAAACGTGTGACCCCACCAATGGATTGCTCTCCGAACGAGGAATCCATTGGTGGGGTCACACGTTCGATTCGAGTCCCATTAGCGACTCTGTAGCTCAAAACGCGTCTAGAGTTTTGGCCGCTCCACCGGTCCTCTGGCCCACTGTGCGGCGTGGCGGCGCGGGTAGCGAGTCGGGCTGCGTTTGAAATCGGCGGGAAGAAGACCAGCGCCTCCCGGAAACCCCCGAAGACATGCAAAGTAGGGCCAGTTTTGGAGGGCAGGGGGTTTTCCAGCATCGTGGGCACACAGACAGCACTATTGTACCTGCTGGTCCAACAAAGTGCGCCAACAGTTCAAAACTGCTAGCGAAAAATTCGAATGGTTTGGCGTTTTTGGACCGTTTTCTGACGTGCACTGACGTCGCGTCTTTCAAACTTGGCAGCGCGGCGAGCCGTGTCCGGGGTGCACCTGGGGCGGTCATCCGGGGGCTCGGAGTCTCGTTCCCATTTTCGTCACGGCCCCTCAGTCGGGCTCTGCAGCCAGACGGCCAGACGATGCGCTGCAGCGGGGATTTTCTCCGCCATTCTGCTGCAGGGGGTGGTCGTCGGGGTGTTCGACCGGCCGGTCGGGCGCAACTGGTCGACCGGGGCCGCCGCGCCGCACCGGTCTTGGTCGTAACTATCGAGTTGCTCGTGTGAGACTGTCACGGCGACCACGCCCCCCCCCCCCCTCTCCCGGGCCGTCATTGGAGGACATGCGCAATTTATTGGGCCCGGGGGATGCTGGGGCGGACGGACGGGCGCCCGCCCTGTCTGGATTTGTGTCCAGGAGGATAATTCTGTCTTTGTCGATGTGGCGGCGCTGCCGGTGGGGGCGCGGGCGAGGGCGGGGTTGCAGCGAGTGCAGTGGCGCCTAGTGGGATTAAAACTGGTGTTCGGCTGGAGCCGGAACCTGCTGGGGCCACCCGGGAACCAATGGCGGAGGTGTTCGAGTTCGGCTCCGCGAGAAGCAAAACACAATGCAGTATTCTAGGCCTTAACAAAGTTTTAGGTCCTTGTTATTGGAAATAATGTTTTCAGAAATTTTTATAACCACTTTAAAAGACAAAAAAAAATAAAAAAATAATTTTGTTTTATTTATTTTTTATACTACACGAAGATGTCACCGCCCTCTCTACGTTTCGTCTTTTTCTCGGCACTCTTTTGTGACGAGTTTGTTGTCCTCGCAGCGGCACGCGACCTGGCGCCTTCGTGGCCCGAGCGACGCGCCCATAGGACGAGACGGCGGGAGATTTCCACGGAGGGAACCGACCGGCAGTGTCACGTTTCGCGCGCACCTTGACGACGCCGGCAGGAATTTAATTTTGGCGATGTCTTGGTCGCCGCCTCGCCGGCCTGCGAACGTACTACAGTCCTTTTCGTCGCTCTGTCTCTCTCGCACTCATCGGGACGGTCCTTGGAGATGCGAGAGAAAGAAAGCGACGAGAACGAAGTCGCGGAATCAGCTTGATGTTACGGAGAGCAGCCTTGCATTGTGGTTCGTTTTCATTAGGGTTATTACTCGGTGGAATGTAGAGAGGAGAGCCCCACCGGCGGCGCTTTCGACATCTCGTTCGAGGCCTTGTTCGAGATCTCGTTCGAGGCCTTGTTCGAGATCTCGTTCGAGATTTTGTTTCAGATTTCGTTTGAGATCTTGTTTGAGGTCTGGTTCGAGATGGTGAAGATGTCCGCGTTCCCGGCGGCTGGGGTTGCGCGGTTCAGCACGGCACGGCCTGGAGACACCCGATTCGATTCCCACCGATAAAATGAATACAGCATAAGGGGCACTCCGCGAGGCCCCCCGTTTTATCGGGAACAGGCGCGGCGCCCCGCACATAATGGAAAAGAAAGAAGGATTATGAGTAAGAAAGGAGGAAAAGATCTCTTTTCCCAGTGTATGCATTTGCAAAGGAGCGCGCTTCGCACTCGACGACGGCAGGCCCTGCCGGCCGCCCACCCGCGGGACCAGCGACCTCGCAGAGCCCCTTGCAGTGCCGTGCCCACCACAGTTAGCGTCTGCATCTGGGGACGTGTATGGCACGGCGCGTAAGTGAAACAAAGTGCGGTGAAAACTGGCGCGGCAACTTGCTAAGGACGACCGTCCCGTCGGGGGCCACCGAGTCCACGGCGGCCCGAGCCACGGCCCGAGCCACGGCCTGCACGCGCGCAGCCCCCCCCCCCTTTCTCTCTCGGAGCCTCCCTAAACGGCGAGCATAATTAGATCCCACACAAAACAAGGTTACGAAAAGAGCAGGCACACTCGGCGTTACTTCCTCGCGGGAGTTACGCCGCGAGGCGTCGTTTTGTTCCATGTTTGGAAAGGCAACAGTCGCGCGGGAAAGAAGCCGGAGAAGCAAGAACGGCTCTGAAAGGGACGAGCAGGAATTTTTGGGCGAAAGGGGGCGCTGAAACAAGAGCAGGGCGCACGCAACAGTTAATTATTTTTCCATTTTTTCGTGCCGCGTGCCTTACCTAATCTTGGTGAAAACCCACCGCCTTGTGGGTACAGCGTGTAAAATGCCGCTCCCCTTTCCCCTTTACATTGTAGTGGCGTCGCGAGGCCGGCCGCGACGTCGCGGTTTTGTAGTGCTGTTTTGATGAATACGAGGCGCAGCGCGCAAAAGGAAGACCCTTTCGGAAGCGCGTGAGCAGGAGGGGAGAAAGGTGGGGGGGGGGGACGCGGACCATAGGTGAGGGAACAGCCGCAACTAACAACCGTTCTCTTCCTGACTTTGGTTCCCCTCCGTCGCCGCCGCGCTGCCGCCTTGTCCGCTAGACACTTCCGGCACACTCTTCCCTTCCCTCTGCGTTTTTCCACCCACTGCCCCCCCCCCTCCCCTGCGTGCCTGTGCCGCCCCTCACCCACCGGCCTGCACGCACTTTCGCTCTTAAATTTCACGTTGTGGCGCCGTGTTGTGGCCGGGACAATCTGCCACCTGATTTTTATTTTTTCATCCGCACAATTTCGCGGTAGCCCCTCTTTTCGTGTTTGACGAAAAAAACAACTTACCTTTGAGTTTCCGCCATACTTTTTTTTACCAAGACTTTGCGGGTGTTCATGTGTTCCTTGGAGCGGAAAAACGCAGACCGAGAGCCCATAAAAGCAAAACCGTTTCTGCACGCAGAAGTGTCGAAAGAAACGAATCTTTTTTATTTGGCTGCTGCCGCTCCGGTCGCCCCACCTGACTTTGTGGCGCGGCGTTACAAGGTGCCGGTGAGTTCTGTACTTCGCATTGACGGCTTTCTCGCGACATTCAATGAGGGCGTCGAAGGGAGGGGAGGGTTGGTGAAGGGCTGCCTTGCGAAATTTGGATAGTTCTCTTTTTTTACAAACAGCAAAAAGAAAATTCGACTGCGTATTAAGATGACGACCCGAAAAATAATTGCGTTGTGTCATTGTGATACTCTTCGCAGTAAAAGGATTCTCGAGCGCGCAACACGGCAAGGACGCCAAGGACGCGCCAAGGACCAGCCAAGGCCAGCCTGCGGTCACCGTGTCCCCGGTGTCCCTTCTTGTTTTGTTTCGGCAGCGCGCTTCCATTAGCGTGCGAGTTTGCTTAGGCAAGTGTGTGCCCCGCGCAAATA